AGTTTTCTAATCCACGAACCTCACATTAGATACGGATTATTTTGGGTCAATGCTGATACTAATATTCGGGGTTTAAAAAAAGCCCATGCCCGATATATCAGTCAACAACAATGATTCAAGACAAATAAGGAGAACATTACTAAATAAAAATCTCAAAATTAAAAGTTGAATTCGTTACACTGTCAACATGAGAACTGTAAAATGCACAAGTTATGTATTGTGATTGTTTTGTAATTGTGGGCACGGGTATGAACAGTTGCATAAATGTTTATTTATCTCACAAAGATCATTTACGCAACTTTAAAACACTCTATACTAGTCTTACATTGATAATGGTGGACATGGGAGTTAGCAGTTGCCTATATTTTTATCAAAAAAAAAATGATGCAAATCGCCATTTAATAGTACTGTTACATTAGTCAGTGGTTCTTAACCTTCTTAGAGGTATCGAACCCAAGCAGTTAATGTGCACATTCACCGAACCCTTAATTAGTGAAAAATAAATACATATATTTTTTTACAAATTCAAGATGTAAAAAAACACATTTATTAAAAACAGAAAAAAGTAAATAAAATTTCAAGAGATACGTTTTTTTTTTTTTTTATTGTACGACGTACTATCATGACAGTCACACTTAACGACTAAACGAACTAAATTTCCCACAGCACTTATTGGACAAGCAATGTCACGTGATCATCTGCAGCCAGTGATGGCCAAGTGGGCGTGTCATAACTAATTGACATGTTGAGTCGGGTGTGTCTTACACTCCATGGCAGAGGCTCCGTCGAACCCCTGAGACCGATTCACTGAACCCCTAGGGTTTGATCGAACCCAGGTTATGAACCACTGCATTAGGTAATGGTGGTCATGGAATCAACAGTTACATATAGATTTGTTAATTTCACAAAGATGCCATTGATATGCTGTTAATTGCTGTAATAAACCCTAAAACTTTTGTGGAAAAACTGGAATGCTCTCCTCGATGTACCCCAAACAGCTTGTTTCTGCACGGATGTTATTGTCGTGTTAACCATTCCATTGATTAACCAGTCGCTCTCTATTTCCCCTCCATGTTTGTTTCTGGAATTGGGAAGAAAAGGGGAATTGTATACCAACTTCACACAGGGAGGCATAAGGTCGGATTCTGAACCCAGACCTTCATATGCACCACCTGGCCTCCTTCTTCAGAGATTCATTGGCAGGAAATATTTGATATACTGTATATGGTAGTGGATTTCAAAAGTCTATGCATCGCTGTTCAAAGTGGGCTGAGATAGGATTCAGCTCACCCACAATCCTTGTGAGAATAAGCGGTCTAGAAAATTGTTAGATGGATGGACAGATGGATGGATGCATGGGTTTATTTTAAATTGTGGCAGGTGTGTGCTGACCACATTTAACATGACTGTGACCGTTTAATTCTGAACATAGACATCTGAGCTGCAAATTTTTACCTCCCCTCCATAAAATACTTTTTTTGATTGAGATATACAGATTATGTTGAAAGTAACACTGGCCAGTAATGCGCTGGAAGAAAAATGTGTCTCGCTACTCATTACTACCTTTATCCATTCTTTATGTTGAGTTGTAGGATTTCACATTTAAAATGCACCAAAATGCCACACGTCCAAGCAATGTGGTTATTTTTATCTGGAGGAGGCTTTTTTTAAGCAGTTCATGTGCTAGATCAGTCACTTTAACCTCCACTTCAAATGATTGATAGTAAAGAGAGGCCCCAGTCTGGTCTGCTTTAAAAAGGTTGTGCCTGTGTCAGTCTTGTGACTCTCTGGCCTGACATATTGTACATACTCGAACCAAGTTAAAAACAAAAACAAAAAAAAAAAAAACCCCAAACGAAGACCCAAGACTCCGCATGTATCTAAATTTACAGGTACTGTATTAAGTTGTTGCCTCCATCAATGACTGTTGGTCTGGAAAATATTTGACTTCTATTAAATTAAGCACATATACATGTCATTTTCACATTTCACATTTTTCATGAGCTGAACTGAAGGATCCAAGACTTTTTGTGCAGAGAAAGCTAAGTTGAGTTTACACATTGGTCACTAATTAGTCTAAATGTCTGTTGGTGAGCACTTCTCCTGTGCCAAGATAATACATCCCCCCACGCGTGTGGCATATCAAGATGCTGATTAGACCGCATGATTGTCATGCAGGCGGCTTGGTGGTTGACAGGTTAGTGGTCGGCCTCAGAGTGCAGGGGTGCAGGGTTCGATTTCGGCTCCGGCCTTCCAGTATGGAGCTGCATGTTCTTCCCGTGCCTGTGCGGGTTTTTTCCGGTTATTCCGGTTTTATCACACATTCTAAAAATATGCGTGGCAGGTTAATGGCACACTCTAAATTGTCCCGAGGTGTGAATGTGGTTGTTCATCTATGTGTGCCCTGCAATTAGCTGGCAATCAGTTCAGGGAGTACCCCGCCTACTGCCCGAAGACAGCTGGGATAGGTTCCAGCACGCCCCGCGACTCTTGTGAATTTTTTTTCCCCAAGATGGCGCCTGAGTAGGCAGCCGGCAAGGGCTCTTCAAGAGCCTTGCATTTTTTGTTGTTTTTGTCTTGTGTTTTGTCACATGGTGCTGTTGCTACGTCGTGTGGACCTGATGTGGATTGTTTTCAGCATTTTTGGCCACGACATTCGTCAAAGAAGAAGAATCTGTGCTTGGTGGTTGCTCCTTCTCGGCAGCACACGCGTACCAGTACTGATTTTGATTGGGAGGAATGTCGGTGCCATTTGACTGTCGTTGCTGGACAGCCCCAGGGCGATTGTGTTTTGCGCCTGCAATGGGCAGCATTTTCACAGCCCCGTTTTGTTCAACGGAAAAGTCAGTGCTGTTGGATAGTCTGCGGCTGGATGGATGCATGCCTAGAGGAGCCAATGATGAGAAGAAAGGAGCGTCAGCGCAGAGCGCCGATGTGTATGTGGAACTGGGAGTCGCGGCTTGGAATTGAAGCGGATTTACATGGGACAGGAGATGAGAGACAATCTCTCTTTCGTTAATGGACGCTACAGCTTCTTTTTGCTTTCAAACTTAGCTTGTAGCAGACGTGTGAACATTTTGAGCATGATGTCTTTGACCCACTGGTGAAAAGGACACTTTGATTCGCTCCTCTTTCATCTATAACTGCTTCAAACAACAATGTGTATGCAGGAAAAGTGGTTAATATTGCACAACTCTCTGTGTCTTATGAGTTGTGTTGTATTATTTTGTCATTTTATGTTAACTGTTCTTTTGATGGCGGCGCAAGACCCAGAGCGGCTCCTCTTGTTGTCTTGTTGTCTGGTTGAGAGAGAAGAAATTTCATCTGTGCTGTATGTTGCACATACAGCACATTTTACAATAAAGTTGTACTAGACTTGTGAGGATAAGCGGATCAATAAATGGATGGATGGAAGGATACCATCCCATACAATAACCCACCACCACCACTATGGCCGACTCATTCCACAACATAACAATCGCATATTGCCACCACCTGACGCAATACATACCGTCTGACATTGCACTGTACAGTGAACATCGGGACTCATCAAGAACACCTCATCAAAGTGTGAATGTGAGTGTAATTCCAACTCAAATCGAATACGACGGTGAACAGCAATCTGATCGAAACGCCAGTGGGGATGATAAGCGTGCAGATGAGCTTTCCTAAAATGGTTTCGCACAGGTTGTACAAATCAAGATGTTCAGGCGGCTGGCCTCAGAAAAACTTGGGGTTGAATATGGCTTCAGTAGAGTACTGTTGGGTTTTTCTCTCAATCAGATTTCAGCCTATATGTGCTGTAATGTCTGTCTAATCTGCTTTCAGTAATACAGGTCAATGTAACTTAAGGTATTAGAAGCGAGCACTTGATGATCCTATAGCAAAACAAATCGCAGCAATCTTCACACATCAAACTCTTTACTAATCAGCATCTACAGCGAGTATGGTGTATATTTTTCATATGTTATTAGATCAATATTGATTTGGAACTTCCACCCCCACTCCCACTCAATCATCTCTTGTCACATCTCCTAGAGAGGGGGACACCACAATGAGGTACAAATTTCCCATACAAATGACAGTGATTTTATGCCATGATGCCAATAGAAATCCATTTCATGTAGCCTTTATTGTGTCGTGTTCAGCTGTTACATATCACACAATGCACATTCCAGAAACTGCCACTGATGTTATTAATCAATCCTGGGGACATATTGTTATGTCTTTAAAGAATCCAGACATTCATTCCCAGGTACATATTATTGTTATTTCTTTCACGTGTTAGAGTAAAGGCGGGTCTGAAAATGGCTGACACTGAATGAGTGAAGAAGTGGATTAAGTTGGATAAGTTCCTACTGAAGGCCCAAGTACCAAACGCATGGCTGGCACTAGTTAAAATACACCCAAATTTCATTGAAGAAAAAGTGACAAAATCCATCCAGTCTTGCCAAACTGCCTCCCAAAACAGATGTCTTTGTGAAAGCTTCATAACAATATCCACGGAAGCTGTTCTCAGCTCCTTGTGTCTGTGAGAAACAGTTTCAAACAATAGCGGGGTTGCAGTAAAAACAAAAACAACAAGCAACCCTTCTTTGGAGATAGTTAATGCCAAGGAGTGCACTCAAAGGTTTGACTTGTCCAACCTGTCTGGTAGCTTGAAGGGCTGTCTATTTTTAGAAGAAGGAATAAGAAGGAGAAAACCCGAGAAGGCACAACCCAGGAGACCAAGATTTATTTTTATTTTATTTTTTCGCAGACGACTTCCAACTGCTGAAGAATGATTGGTTAGCACCTTATAACCAACAGTGTTGTTTGGAGTAGGGAACTGCGCTATAATTGTCACAAGTGCTAACCAAATACCTGCAAGGTGGAAGAGAAGAGAAGGGAAGGGAAGAGAAGGAAAGGGAAGGGAAGAAACGGAAAGGAAAGGGAAGGGAAGGGAGGGAAGAAAGGGGTGAAGTGGATGGGGAGGAGGCGGCGACGGGGGAGGAGTGAGGCTCTTCTCCCTCTAAGAGCATTAACTGTCGAGTGTTCTGGCGGTGACAGGACTGTCAGGGTCAGATGGCTGCTCAGCCTGATTACACCGGCTCACTGTATATCCTCGGCTACTATACTGCATACTGCCAAGCTAGCACGTTCTAGTTGTGCGGCGCATTTCGCATTTCGCTTCTTTTCTCGGGGAGGCAGAAGCAGCTCGGCGTCATCCGGGAAGGAGCTACAGGTGGTTGCACAAAACCGTCAAGACTACAGTTTTCTGCTGGACGTCGTAGGGAGAACCACGCGTGTTACGTCTCTCTCGAGAGATGACTTAAAGCGGTAAGGGCAATTCTCACCAGATTCTCTTTGTTGTCGCTGAACTCCCGAGATGCGCGCTAACTTTGCAGTTTGCTGCCATCTAGAAGCTAGTGCATGTGGATATAAATACTGTACACCCGTGTGTATTCGGTGTCAAAAGGGGTTTACGAACAGACGAGCTGCAGCCTCTGCAATATCGTAGCGTAACCGCGGCTCGTCAATTTGTGGAGCTTCCCATTCCTCTGAACCTTCCAAGCAAGAGACGTGCGGAGCAGGCTCAGAGAATAAATACAGAGGTGGCGAAAGTACTCTCATTCTACTTTGGTAGAAGTACAGACATCAAAAATACTTTGGTAAACATAGATTACTGGTTCGTCTCCTTGACTGCAGTACAAAAGAGAAAAGATTACAAATAAAAATGTTCCTGTCAAATTGGTACAGGGCTGGGACTTAATAACTGTGTTTAACCTGGGAGGTGAATGGTTTGGGAGAATGATTTGAACCTGTAAAGCACTTTGAGCCAAAATCTCTATGAAAATTGTTATATAAATAAAGTTTTGATTGATTGATTGAATTCGATTTTACATGTACTGTATCTGTATTTGACTGTTTCTATTACGGCGTTTACTTTTACTCTCTACATTTAGACACGATACCTGGAGTTTCTACGCCTTATTTTGCCAAATCAGACTTGTTCCTGTTTTCAACCTGTGGTGATGATGACAGGAAAAAGATGTAAATAGAGAAAGATAAAGTGAACTGCAGTTAATAATGGTTGAGATTTTGGAGTCTTCAAGGTGTAAAAACAAAAACAAAAAAAAAACCCAAGCAGGAGTGACATTGAGGAACAGAACCAAAGAACAATTAACAACATCGCATCAGATTGAGAGAAGCAAGATATTACCAATCCATGGAATTGTTTAAGAGAACTGTTTGATATTTTCGGCACATACAAGTTGGGTGCATTTTTTTCAGGTTTCCTTGCCAATTTAGTTTCTCTTTTTTTTAATTTTTTTTATCTCAATTGACAATTACAGCAAAGTTGGATGGAAACACTTTATTTTACCAGAAAAGTCAAACTGGCACTAGCGAGCTATTGGTTTAAAGAAATGTTTTTTAATGGGTATTGTATATAACTGACAGTAAAAAAATAATTTTAAAGCTTTTATTTAAGTATATTTTTAATCCATGATCTTTAAAGGAATACGCAAGTTTAATCAGTATGTTTAATTCTAGTAGTATTTTTTATTTATTTAGCACAAATATCTGTACTTTTACTTAAGTATAGAGTGTAAGTACTTTTGCCATTTCATATACTGTGCCTGAATTGATAGTTTGTCACAATGAAAAAAAAAACAAAAAAACAAAACAAGAAACACCTGGGCACAAAATACTTTCCCTCTTTTTTTAAGTACTGAGCATTGGCTCAGGCTTTTATGTTTTTAAAGTAACATACTGTAGCTTTGTTAACTATGTAAACAAAATTGCTAAATTAGACAGTAATGATAAAGAATCATTTTAGGAGCTGTCAACATCGAATAGGTCCCCCCTGAATAACACCACGGATGGGGAATATCTTGCTTGTATGAGTTTGTTACAACATCATTGCTTTTCAGGCTCCCTGGTTCATGTTGCAGCTGAAAGGTCTCAAAGATCTCAATCAGTTAATCAATCAATATCTCAACGGGGGTTGACTTCACCTCTCTCTATTTATGTCTTTTTTGAGGTGCGTCATTTGCAGAGGTTGAAAAAGTTTTGACAAATTAATAAGTAGAAAGTACCGGTACATAAACCTGTTTTAAAATGTAGGGAGTTCAGTGAAAACATCATCAGAAAAATACTCTGGTACAAATACCTGAAAAATCAACTGAAGTACAGGAACAAAGTATTTGTACTCCATTACTTGCCACCTGTGCACACAAACGATGCACAACTACATGTGTCAACCTCATCAGGTATTTAGCACGTTTTTTTTTTTTTCCCCCAGCATGACCTAGGACAGGTGGTACGCAAGGCTCCGCCCCTTTCAGGTGTTAACTGGGTGTCATTTTTATGGCAGTACAACACTGTAACAGGAATGATCCATTTTTGCCAGACTGCCTCGCTGGGTTCTATACCCTCAACCCATAGTAAACTCACTGCAGTCAGTTGTGCAGTTCTATAGAAAGTTAAGTTTTGTGTGTGTGTGTGTGTGTGTGTGTGTGTGTGTGTGTGTGTGTGTATGTGTGTGTGTGTGTGTATGTACATTGTATGTACATACTGTATGTGTGTGTATA